CGCCCTTGCCCTTTCTCTCCACTCTGTGCCGGTAAGTTGTGGTGAGCAGACGTACAGCTAGACGAGAGAAAACATCTTCTTGTGAGAATGTTGTACATGTACGAGCCGTGGTTCCTGTTCCTCACCGAGGAGCGCGATGAATTTTGGCTTGTTCCTCGGCGGGCCGTGATCGACCCGGCTGTTCAGAACTACCAGACTTATCTGGACTGGACTGATGATCCATCATTCTATTTGCCTCCGAGGGGTGGTGAGATTTACAGTGTAGATCTAGGTGTTGAACATGTGCATCGCTTGGCTGCTCCTGTGGACATGCTACCGGGCACTACTGTTAAAGAGTGCACCCTCCTCTTCTGGGATAGTGAGTGCTTATTGTCGTCGTGTGCCCTACTAGTCTTGCTGCTCTTAACTGTGTATTGACCATGGCTTTGTCTGTTTGTACAGCTGATCGGGAAGAGGTGGTCAACTTCTTCCAAACTTGCTTAACTCTAGCATTGAGCAGCGCTGACCCGGACACCGCGGATCCGGACTTCATACAGGATTGGCTCAAAAGAGAGGTGTGTGAATACTCCTAATTTAAATACCACATTGCAACGAGAATTCACAATTAATTTGCTCTTTTTCCTTTCCTGCAGGACCAAGATGACATTGCAAAGCATTATGCGATTAAGCACAAAATGTCAGAATGGATGGTTGTGACCATCACCAAGTTGCGAAACTGTTGTGGGATGAGTTTAATTTACTTTCCGGCAGATAAAGACATCCCTGAGAGGTGGCTAGTGCCAACAGAACACACTCCTGTGAAGCGGTGTTTCTTGCCTGGTTATCCACAGAAAGAAACAACAAGGGTGCGGCTTAAATTATAAGGTATGTGTACTGTTGTAAATTACATTTGCTGTGACTTCCCTTCCCTGTCGAGAAATGAAATATCAGACCGATATTGAAACAATATCGAATATCAGATATGTGTCACTTTCAAGACCATCTCAGTATCAAAGTGATGTGAAAATTGACAAATGATATTGTTCTGATATCAATCCGATATTTCATTTCTCACTGGGTTCTGCTTTGCTCTGGGTTAAACGTTTAAAAAC